GCGTGGATATGATTCAAACAACAGAAGCTGACCTGTTTGAGTGGTTATTCATCCAGATGACCCTTGATCCTGTTTAGAATGCCGGTGAATAACTTTATGACTATGAGAGGAAAGCAATGAGACGGGATTTTTGGTAGCGCTCGTCTTTCTTGAACAAAAGAACCGTAATTATTATAGCACCTGCTGAGTCTGCTTGACGACAAAATGTCCACTGGGATGCGGGCCGTTGCGGGTGCTATTCTCGGCTTAATCTAACGTAGGGCGGGTTCTGCCTTCTACTCTTCAATTCATGGAGCCAACTTTTGCGTTGATATAGGGACTCGAAAAGTCGTAATAGTCGAACGGAACAGGCCCTTGTAGTAGCTGATGGCAATCTCCTCGACATTTGACTTCGATATCTGTGTTCTGCCTGTCTCTCATAATGTGATGGGCAGTTCGACGACCTAGCGAGAGTTATTAATGCCGTGAGAATGCCGTTTGATGCTTGAGTCGAGTTGTTTCGCTGAGTCTACTGCTTCGAAGCCATGCGCCTCGCTCGATGATCGAATCACGTTCCAATGACCTGAAGACGCCCGTTGTTGGAGAAGGTGCGAGCATTGATTGTCATCATGCTCTTCGATTTCACTATTGCTGATGCAGCCGATGCCGTTGCGCGACGTAGGTGCTCTTCTACAGAGAAGTCATAGTGTATGACGAGTTTTGCTTCCAATCGCGTGTAATGGGCGACGGCCACCTCATGGCGCTCGTGTTGTACTGCGCTTGTCATAAATGAAGAAATCTCGAGCGTTCTACCTTGAAGTTTCGCTCGAAGGAGAATTTTAAGCCTGACGAGCTTATGGTAGCTTCGGTTGGGCAAACTCCGCTTTCTATTATGTGAACTTGGTCGATTTATGTAGTTGCGAGTTACTTTTGGCTTGACTTTTGCTTTTTGACTCTTCCATGTCCACAGCCAGCCCTCATTTTTTTGTATAGGCTGCTTCCGTGGAGTAGAATGCATCCCTATGGAGATGCCATCAAATGCCCCCGTTTTTTGTTTGTATTTCAGATTCTCTGTGGTCCATTGCGTGCAATTCTCTTAGAGGGTGATAACGATAACGAACCTTCTTGCTGGCCCTATTCGAAAGGGTTTAGAGGCTGAACGGATGGTACGACAATTACGCAGAATGCCCCAAAATTTTGGGCGGCAAAATTCAGGAGGTCTGAGGCAGGAACGACTCCACAATTTCTCTGATTACATATTAATTATTCCCACTAGTTGGTTTTCTCGCAATCTGCATGGTTGCCAAAGTTTAATTCTTCATATCTTTTGGATGGTGGAGGCTAATTCCATGCCTCCTGCAGTTTTGCGCATGAAAAAAGGCGAAAAGGCAGAGTAAAACGGCTTGTGATTCCAATAGTGACGAAGCAAAAAGCTATTAAACGACACA